ATCAATCCTGGCATAATCCTATCAATCCTGATATGATCACGATAATCTCTCCTAATCCTATTAACCCTGGTATAATCCTATCAATCCTGATATGATCAAGATATATAAGATATAATCAAGATACAATCAAGGTGTTCTCTCCTAATCCTATCAATCCTGGTACAATCAAGAGAAGCTTTCTCAAGATGGCGGCTCCTGGAATAGCTGAGTGTCTTGATCCAGAAAATAATGAATTTCTGGATTCTCCTGCAAATTCCCCAGATATAAACCCTCCGAACCTCCAAACATACCTTTATATTTGTTACAGAGTTCCAACACCAACTCATGAGTCCTCTTGACACGGTATTCCGTGTTGTTGTTGACCGAACTCCTCACTACACATCTACCTGATATGCCATCTTCAAGGAAGGCCTGGTAGTGTAGTGGTTAAAAAACAAACAAACAAAAAACAAAAAACCTGGTTGCGAACCTCGCAGTCAGCAGCTCAAATCCTCTAGGCCCTCCACGTGAGAGAGATGTGGCTTTCCGCAACTTGCAGTTAAACAGCCTTGTGGCCCAGTATAGGGTGAAGAGGTGGCTTCAATATGGGTAGTAAGAGTGGTGACTGGGGTAAGGGCAGTGACTTAGAGTCACACCATCTAATTAGGCAGTGACTCAAGTTATATATCACTCTAGTTCTGCTTCATTAACATAACCAATGACTCACTTCCAATGAGACCATACCTACAGGCATAAAGCCTATGGTTTATAATACATCATAAAATGGCAGACAATGTTATCAGATCACACAACCGGGAACTGACACATAACCTAGACAAATTGACACATAACCCCAACCTTAATAGGTTCCATTCACTGTATTTGCATGGTTCTCTGAAATCATTGTGTGGGAGTCACAAAAAAGACCCATATTATGTAATTGATCACACTGCAGAGGATTGGTTCAATAACCTATCTCCTACTACTTGCATGTGAGCTATAGAAAGAAGAAGTCAGGGAAGCAAAAGAAATAACAAGAAATTCAAGGGAAGAACTTTGGTATGGTGGGAAGGGTTATGGTTCCTTTCCAAACTCCTTTAGTTATCAGGCCTTTGGTGGAAAAGCCAAGAAAATGGGCTTTAATCAAGTTTCTGCCACTACCCAGTTAAGTGATGTTAAGTCATAGACTATGAGAGATTCACTGGACTTGAGAAATAATTTACTGCAAGTTTTGTGAAGATGAGCTAAGGCATAGAAGAGATCAAGGAAAGTTACAAATAAGCCAGGATAAGAATCCAATTTTCCTAAATTAGTTCAAACTTTCCATCAAATATCACTGTCTCTAAAAATGACACACGTGATCTCTATATCTCCCCATTTCCTTTTAGCACTAGTAGGGTGGATATAAACATTTGTGAATCCCATGACATTTTAGAATTCTCAGAATTTATTCCTTTTGTATCATCACATATATCTTTATTAAAGACCCCCTACTGTCATCTAGTTGATTCTGGCTTGTAGTGAACCTATATTGTTTTTGTTGTATGCCGTTGAGTCGATTCTGACTCATAGTGACCCTGTATAAGGTTTTCGAGGTGCAGCTGGTGGGTTTGAACCACCATCTTTGTGGATTAAATCAACCTTGTGATCTAGTGCCCATTCTACAGTGCCACAACAGGATTTGAACCCATATTAGGCAGTATCAATAGTATATGCAGTAAAAAGTTCAGAGATCTGTAATGGAAAGCAAAGAAGATCAGATGGGATTTATAAACATAGCCACGTGTCAGAACAATCTCTTTCTGCGAGGTTCTAGTTCTTTCTGGCAGATCCATTTATTTTCCAATTGACAATCTTCAGAAAAAATTTTTCTTTTTGAGATGTAAACACAGCTGCTTTTATCATCATTACCATCAATTTTCAATCTGTGGGACAAAAGAAAAATCAAAGTGTTAAATATTTTCTTACAGAATTCTTTTCCAGTCTAGTATTTCTTAGGATTTTTGGTAAACAATGGAATTCTAAATGATAAAAATATAAGCTTTGAAAATGAAGCTAATGTAAGACTCTGGAACTTAAAGGCTCATCCTCAGTGAAAAAGAATTCCTCTAACAAGAAATTTCCTTTATTGTTGTTGTTGTTAGATATCATTGAGTTGGTTCCGACTCATAGTGACTGTATGCACAACAGAACGAAACACCACCTAGTCCTGCACCATCTTCATAATTGTTATATTTGAGTTTATTGTTTTGGCCACTGTGTCAATCCATTTCATTGGGGTCTTCCTCTTTTTCACTGACCCTTCATTTCACCAAGAGTGCTGTTTTCCAGGGAGTGGTTAAGATAACATCCGAGGAGTGAAAGATAATGTTTCTAGCTGCTCCATAATTTGTCATGATCCATGCACTTGAAAACCTTTGCAGAGTCAATGAAGCACACGTAAATATCCTTCTGGTATTCTCTGCTTTCAGCCAAGCTCCATCTGATGTCAGCAATGATACCCCTAGTTCTCTGACAAATGAGCGGTGGAGAAACATCATAATGATGAAAAACAGAGAGCAAGCGAATAAGCGAGTGAGTGAGAGAGAGAGAGAAATAAATGGTATAAAGTTTTGGAGAATCTCCTGCTCTACTACAAACATGATATAAGCAATTTTTTCTGAATTCACTGAACCTGTGTTTTGTTTTTAATGTACAAGGGAATAATCACCTAATGGAGTTATGGTGTGGCACTGTGGGTTAATGCACTGGACTGCAGTCTATTTGAATCACAAAGTCAACGGTGTAAGCTTATCAGCCGTTCCTTGGAAACTTTATACAGGATCACTATGTGTTGGAACCCATATTCAATCACCTAATATTTGAGGAAGGCATGAACATGGTAATAAGAAAATATGACAAAGTTTAAGGAAAGTGTATGCTCAGTAAAAGTAAAAAGTATGTAGAGGTGGGTAAACATACAGGTTCTATAGAATTTGGATGAAACTAGGGAAAAAGGCAAGATTCTAGTGATCAGTTGCTGTTGTTCTCCATTTCAAGTACAAATCTATGGTATCAGCTTCAATATATTATTAGTTCCAAACAAGCATGAATCTTGTGGCTCCTTGCAGGTGAGAATGGCATCAAAGTTTAAACAATGCAATGAGTAGTATTAGGTCTGGGTTGCAAGGATAGGGTGAGTTCAAGGCTCACCTATTTGCCTCAGACAGAGGGGTGAAGGGTAGCATTGAACAGAACTGCTTCTCATTTTCTTTGCTCCTGGGTTCTATTTCTTCTTGTAACCCTTGGGCCTTAGCAGCTAATCTGATTTCTGTCTAGTGCCACCTGTTTAGTTAAACCGTGGACCTGTCTCAAGGGGACAGATGTAAAATTCCCTTCACTTATATCTCTTCCACCATTTTGATTTGTCCTTTAGTTTTCAAGGTAATTTCTGAATTCCAGTCTGGCCAAATGACTGAACTTCTTTTCAAACACCCCTCTATGACTTCCCAGGCTTGGCATGAGTAGATATCTGCTTGGTTCTGTGACATTATCTCTTTTAATCTCCAAAATAATTCAGGAAATAATTATTATCTTATTCATTTTATTTTAAAAAGAAACTTATTTAAAAACCAGTGCTAAGAGAATTAAAATTAAAAAAAGTCTAAGTGATGTTCTTTCTAATCTAATAAGGTACCTTTCAGGTTTACAGGGTCGACTTGAGCAACTGGAATGGCTTTAAGCAAAACATCACTGCTATTCTCAGAATAAAATAGAAGTTCCACCAAATTTAAAATATTAATTTCACATATAATTTCTCCTCACTGACTTTTAAGCTAATGGTTTTCAATTTCTTTCATCCATCCTTCCTTCTTTCTTTTCTTTTTTTTTTTTTTTAACTATGGTAGCACAGTGGTTATAAATCAGATTGCTAACCTCAAGGTCAGAAGTTTGAAAGGTTCGATGAGAGAAAATTGAGTCTCTCTGCTCCCATAAATATTTATAACCTCAGAAACCCTTTACAGGGTCACTACGATGAGTCGGAACTAATTCCATGACACACAGCCACCACAATAAAGGACTCCTGGTTTGGAGCTGTGCGATCAACATTGGACTGCAAATCACAAGGCTTCCAGTTCAAATCCACCAGCCACTCTTGGAAACCGTATACAGGGTCTCCATGAGTTGGAACCGACTCTACAGCACTTCACAATAATAACGAAAACAATAAAGACAAAATTCAAAACTTTACAACAGGATCCAATAAAGACACACACACAAATAATTGAATAAACCAATGATGTTGTTAAGTACTGTTGAATCTGTTCTGGCTCATAGTGACCCTGTATAGGGTTTCCAAGAAACAGCTGGTAGGTTTGAACTGCCAACCTGGTGGTTAACATTCCAGTGCTTATCCTATAGTGCCACACCAGGATTACAAACCAATATTGTTGTTAAGTGCCATCGAGTCGGTTCTGACTCATAGCAACCCTGTATAGGGTTTCCAAGGAGCAGCTGATGAGTTTGAATCACCGACCTTGTGGTTCAAACCGACCTTGCAGTCCGGTGCTTTATCCCACAGCACCACACCAGGACTCCAAACCATTATTATCCTAAATATATATGTATATATGAAATGCTGGTTTAAGATAAGCACTAGACTGCAAAGTTGTTTTGAACTCTAAGGTTAGTGGTTCAAACTCACCATCCACTGCTTGGAAACACAGTACAGGGTTGCTATGAGTTGAAATTGATTCTACAGCATTTAACAGTAAATATGTAAAAGGACTCCTGGTGTGGTGCTGTAGGATAAGCACTGGACTGCTAACTGAAAGGTCCATGGTTCAAATCAACCAGTTGTTCCTAGGAAGTCCGATACAGGATTGCTGTGAGTCTGAACCAGTTCGATGACACTTAACAGTAGCAATAAAATATATCAAAAACAAACTAAGTAAATATAAAATAGAACTTAATTTGTATGTATTTAAAATCATATATGTAGATAATAATCCCCAGAAATCATGATAAAAAGCAAATCAGAAACAATTTATTTTAATGAACATTATGTGTTTGTATTTTTATACATTCATTCTATTCTACCACACTTTAAATATTCTCCGTTTTAAAGTGTTGTTACTGAGTACCATCGAGTCAGTTCTGACCCACAGTAACTCTGCATAGGGTTTTTGAGGAGCAGCTGGTAAGCTTGAACCGCTGACCTTGAGATTCAAACCAACCTTGGCATTAACCCACAACTCCCATTTTAAAGAACTGCACTTTAAAAAATATTTTAGAATGTAGTTCAAATACTGTAAAAGTTTGTTACTAAGACAGTATTTCATTTAATGCTTAATATTTATCAATACTTAACAAATTATTACCATATTTTAGATAAACTTGAATATGCTTCAGTTTTACATTTTAATGTCTTGTTTTTCTAATGATTAAAAACGTCACCTTAAATGCAATTTATTTAAGCTTGATTTAATATATACTATATAGGAGTCCTGGTGTGGCGCTGTGGGTTAATGTGCCAGACTGCAAAGCCATTTGAACTGCAAGGTTGGCAGTTCAATTCTAAAATCACATAGAAAGTTCTTTCCAGAAATGTGGCTTGATGCTTGCATACTTGCTTACAGGGCAAAAAAGTTACTCTTTTCTTGACCAGACAATTGATTATAAATTCTGTCAAAATATGTCATTTAACTGTGTAATATCAATTCTTCTATTACACTGATGTGTAATACATCATGACCATCTTACACACAAAAAAATAAAATACCACAGTCACGTATCAGAGAGGAAATAGCAAGTGGTTCCCTTGTGGTCTATGTGTGTATATAGCACATTTCCTCAAATAAGGTTTCCACGTCATTAGGAGTCCTGGGGGTACAGTGCTAAGCACTGAAATGTTGGCAGCTTTAAACCACCAGTTGCGTTTCTGGAGAAAGACAAGTTGTTGTTGCTGTTAAGTTCTGTCAAGTCGGTTCCGACTCACACTGACCTTGCATAAGATTTCCAAGGAGCGACTGGTGAGCTTGAACCACCAATCTTGCAGTTCAAATAGATTTTGCAGTCCAGTGTATTAATCCACAGTGCCACACCAGCACTCCTATTACAGCCTTGGAAACCCTATAGGGCAGTTCTTCTTTGTCCTATAGGATCGCTAAGTCAGAATTGACTGATTGGCAATGGGTTTGGGCTCATGGCATTGGTTAAAATCTACTGCATATCATGCATAGTTCCTCCCAAGTGTTTAGTACACACTATGAAACTTCCAGTTTATCATCATTGTTTAAAAGTTAGTTGTTATACACTAAGTTGGTTTCATGACTCACTGAGGTATTTTGTTCAACAGTTTTAAAAACTACTCAGAAATTCCGTTTGACAACAGACTCCAGCTAGACAAATTTTTATTTAGGTACCCTTCCAAAGGAGGTTTCCTTGTCTTCTAAATCTGCGTTATAGGTAAGTTATATGTTCTTATAACCTGCTGATGTCTTTGTATAAATGGAACTTTCAACCAACTCTGTAAGCATCCATCTTCTCTGTTTATTCTGAATCTATTGAGAATTTATAAACTCAATAAAAACAGCAAAACTCAATCTACAATAACAATGTTATCACCTTGTACTGTAAACCTGCTGTAAAAGAGACATTAAAATGAGCTCCTCTAATACTCACACATCAGAATTTAAAAAAGAGCCATTTATCCACTTCCATTTCATCTCTGATAATGTTAAATTTAATCCAATCCAATATAGAATTCCTCCAGTCGATATCCGGCTCTGGATGTATCCCTAAAAATGAAATAGAAGAAATGACTAAATACTAAGGTGGTTTATCTATTTAGTAACTGCCTTGTTCTCCTCCTCCTCTTGAATTACTCACACCTTGTTCAAATATCATTCCCTCTATAAAGTATTTCCTAATTCCACATCAGAGTCCATCATTCTTATTTGGGAGGTAATGTTTCTCTATATTTATATTTCAATGATTGCATTGAATCATTCCTTTCTTACAGTCTGTCAAACTGTGAGCTTCTTAAAATCCATATTTTTTTCTTCCATCTGCATAGACTCTTTGGGCTAAAGCCCAACCATTTTGACATGGTTTAAAGAAAGTGTTAACTTCTATTAATGTCTTTGGTTAATTATTTACCAATTCTTCTTTATCTTGAATAAGTAGCAAGCTGGATTCTTTTGAGTAACAATCTGTTAAACTGTTGTTCCAGGAGTTTGAAATGTGAGAAAAAAACAAGCATTTCTCTTGGTGTGGTTCCCAGTGCACTGGGCACTTTAATGGCCCTGTTATGTCTAAGGTAAGAGAGAAAAAAGAAATTAAAGAAGCATCATTGTTCCAACCTGTCCCCATTCCACTACCACTACAATTTCACACACAAGCACGCGCATGCACGCACGCATCATTGTACATGCTTAAAAGTCATTGTTTTTCACCATGAAAACAATTCCAATGGATTCATCATAATTTTGAAGTTTTAACACCTACTGTTCATTTTGGTACCAGGGACTGAGAAGCAATGACAAGTTATATTAAGCATAAATTGATTCATAGAATGTAAAAGAAGAAAAAAAAATCAAAATAATGTAAAGAGCCACATTTTACATTTTCAGACACTGAGATAGAGAATAATACAATCAAGTGGTGGAAAAGTCAAGACTATTTGTGAATTTCCTTGAGTCTGTCACCTGTCCACTACGTGGATAACAACATCAAATCAAACATTTACTTTAGACAAATGAGTATATTCCAAGTGTTTAAAACAAATAAGCAGAGTGTGAAGCATAAAATAATTAATTTCAGTAAATGAAGGAGAAATACAATGGAAAAATCAAAAGAAAATAATTAATTGCTGAATAATATTGTTACCCATTTAATGGGATCTGTTGGATTATATTTTCCAGAAAAAACGTTTGCAGGTTTCTTTAAAGATCTGTTCTGTAAAAGTATGTCCATAGATTACATTCTGCACTCAACAATAATTACCTTTATTAACACATTGTACACACTGGAATAAGAATAATATTGATACATGGCAAATAAATATAATACATACTAAGTAATTCATTCTGTATTTTAAATTCTTTTAATTCATTTCAGACAAAAGTCAACAATTGCATATATTCATTCAAATAATCAATTTAAATGAATTTTTTTTTCACTTTTTAATTTGATACCTGCCTATTTTAATTATTGATATTATATCAGCAGCTTCTCATGAAGCAGTGTACCTGGTCAGATCATTTAAGGGCAAGTCCTGCTGTTATCTTCTAATAATCATGTGAATTTGAGCAAGTTACTTCACCATTCTAAGTCTCAGTTTTCTGAGACATAATATCAGGATGAGTATTGTATCTTAATAAAAGGGAGTCTTGTAGGCCTTAAATAAGGCATCACGTGAAATCTGTTAAATGTTAGATGTTATGCTTAGAAGATTCAAGCCACATCATTACCTGCTGTTGCATTCCTATCCTCTTGAGAACTCCTGGACTGTTCATTAGTATTCACATCACATTTTACTACTGTTGATTTTTGACTTAATAATATCACTGGCAATTAAAGAAAAACAGTTAAGAAGATTAAATATAGAAATATACTACAAGAATGTTATATTCATCACTTCTCTACATTTCCTTCTGAAGCTGGAGGGTAGATCAGCCATCATAATGATAGGATTGTGGCCTTATAATTTCAGCAGTAAACTAAGTGATCTCAGCAAGCTTGAAAGTGGACAGAAGATTAAAGTAGTAGCAGTTTGATAGCAAAGAGTTTAGTTAAGAGATGGGATCCTGGTTTGATGCTATAGGATAAAGCACTGGACCTCAAGGTAGGCTTGAACGACAAGGTCGGCGGTTCAAACTCACCAGCATCTCTTCATACTCACACAGATATGCTGTTACCTTTTATTTACTAGATAAGTAAACTAAGGATATTAGACTTTCACATTGTTTGCACTCTTAACAAAATTTTCTCAACTTAAAAATGAGTATAATTATGCTTCTCTCAAGGAAGAGACTGCCTAGTGCAATCTGGAATTTAGTAAGTACTTAATAAACTGCAAAGTCTGTCTTGATAATTGTTATTTTCATCTTTTCATCATCATCATGAATTTTATTTTAAGTTTTAGAGCACATGTAAATGAACACATTATGACTTTTAGCACAATGAAAGGCTAAAATGTCCAGAGAGGCTAAGGGCTCAGCAATAGAAGCATTGTTTTTCTCCTGTTTTTATTGTATTGGTCCTTTGCTATGTTATGTTATGTTAAGATGTTCCCATTTGATGATGTAGTAGAATAGATAATCTGAAATTAATCATCTCACATCACTTACCTGAGACACTCAGCCCTATCACAACCAAGGCAAAGAGAATAATCCCAGAACAGGCAAGTTTCAGCGCAAATTGATGCCAGCGTGGACCCTGACAAACATCTAAGAAGTTAAAATAATATACTCAATTAAGTCAGTTGAGTACATATGGTACAACAATCAAAGGTAATTTGGATCACATATGGACAGTTAGTGTCTAGTTGGGGTCTAGGGCAAGGAAGAATATTTATCAGCCATTTTAGAGACTTAAAAAACTGAGAGTTTTATCATTGATAAAATGGGAATATGGATGCTCATCTTGTGTATGAAGGATTAATCTAAGATTTAAATAAGATAAAAGTGTTTACTATGAGGAAAAATTTGGAAATAGCTAATGGGATGATTGAACTATGTGATATGCATAATCAATGTCACTGAATTGTACATGTGAAGAATGCTGAAATAATAAATGTTTTGTGACATATATTTATCACAATAAAAATAGATGTGAAAATACTTTCAAAATTACCTATTGTGATGCCATAGGATAACTACTCAACTGTGAACCGCAATGTCTGTGGTTTAAACCCACCAGCTGCTCCTCAGAAACCCTATACATGTTTGCTGTGAGTCGGAATCAACTTGAAGGCACTTAAGAACAGTAATAGGATACAAACATAAGGTAAATGTTATTATCATTATTATTATTGCATATTTTAGTCTAGGATAAGCACTGGACCACAAGGTCCTTTTGAACCATGAGGTCAGTGGTTCAAATTCACCTGTCACTCCTCAGAAGCCCTACACAGTGTTGTTCTGAGTCAGAACCAAATCTAAGGCACTTAAAACAATATTCTTAGGAAATTCATCAAAGCATTTTGAATGGTCATCTGGTACTGTTTCAGACATGCTGTGCCAGTAGAGTTAGAGAGACAAGAGTAGATACTCAGAAGATATTTCAAGACCCTGGACCTCCAACTGAATATGAGGAAACCAAGTTTGCTTATATTGGCCTCTTACTGCTGTTAAGTATAGTCAAGTCAGTTCTGACTCAGCCACCCTAGATAGGGTTTCTGAAGGGTGACCAGTGGATTTGAACGCCCAGTCTTTCGGTCAGCAGTCCAGTGCTTATTCTACAGTGCCACACCAAGACTCCAGTTATGCATGCACATTATTTCATCTTTCTGTCTCTTTTCTTCTTCATTCTTTCCTCTGTTAAAACTCCAACTTGATTTGAAAATTGAAAAAAAAAATCTTTTTGCCACTATTTTAATATTTATTACTGAAGTGTATCAATGGTTAAAAGCAAAAGCTCTAAAATCCAGTAGTTCTGAGTTTTTGGATGTTGCTTACAGCTTTGTGACTTTAGACAATGTCTTCAACTTTCATTAACTAAAATCCGGTAGTTCTGAGTTTATGGATGTTACTTATTATTTTGTGACTTTGTTGTTGTTGTTGTTAAGTGCTGTAGAGTCAGTTCCGACCCATAGAGACCCTGCACAGGGTTTCCGAGGGTGTAAATCTTTACAGGAGTAGAAAGCCTCATCTTTCTCCCGCGGAGCAGCTGGTAGTTTTGAACCGCTGACCTTAAGGTTCGCAGCCTGATTCGTAACCACTATGCTGGATAAATTCAATTTCCACATCTGTAAAATGTAGAATAGTATCTACTTCAGGTGTGGTACTGTAGGCTAAGCCCTGAACTGCACTGCAAGGTTGTTGGTTCAAACCCACCACCATGGGGGAAAGATGAGGTTTCCTTCTCCTAGAGAGTTTACAGCTTTGGATACTACGTAACAGGCTGCTATGAGTCAGAATGTACTAGATGGCAGTGCAAGAGAGTGATATGAAGCAGTGTTTCTAAAATGCTATGCATAGTGTTCGATAAATATTGGTTGCTATGTTTATCTAAAATGTGTATATTGTAAAGACACTGTTGATAAAACACAACTTGGGATGACTTTATAAAACAGTCATTTACTCACGAAATACTTAAGGAATTGAGTGGAATGTCTTGTGTTTGGGAGAAATGCACTCCTGCATTGTTTCTGCTACACAGCACTGCATGAGATTAGAATGAATGGTTTTACAATTGGTAATTGAAGAGACCAGGTAAACATATCTGGCACGACTCACAAGGACTATTCTTTGTTTAAGTTTAAACAGTATGTTAAATGATATCATTACACTGCTTTACATTTTTCAAGGCTTTCTATCAAGTGGATTCGAATCTATAAAATACCTTACAAAACCCTGTTCAATCTGGTCCCCCATTACTTCTCTGACATCACCTTCTGGTCTCTAAACATACACTCCGCCACCCTACACCTTCCAAAATTAAACGAGCTCAGGAAAAAAAAAAAACCCTGTTAACAATCAATTCTTTAGTTATTCTGCTCTAAATCTTCTGAGGTAACTCCTGATTTTCCTTAAAAAAAGATGCGCATCTTCCCATCTCTGTGCTTTTTTGCACTTGGTAATCCTACTTCTAAGGAGCTCTGGTAGCGTAGTGGTTACAAATTGGGCTGCGAACCTTAAGGTCAGCAGTTCGAAACTACCAGCTGCTCTGCAGGAGAAAGATGAGGCTTTCTGCTCCTGTAAAGATTTACAGCCTCGGAAACATTGTACAGGGTCACTATGCGTCGGAACCGACTCGACGGCACATAACAACAACAACAACAACAACAGCAATCCTACTTCTAGAAGAATCCTTTACCAGAGAGCAGGCCTCTTTCCCTCACTTCTTTTAAGTCTTGACTTAACGCCAACTTCGCAGAGAGACTATTTCATATGGAACCTTTCCAAATTTTGATTTTACCATATCTAAATTTTTATCAATTGCAGGTAATACCAACTGATTTTTGCATACATATTTATTACTTATTTATTTTATTGATTATCTCCACAGTAATACAAGATTAACTACAAGACGGTAAAGATTTTCTTTCTTTTTTTGTTCATTGTTCTAGCCTCAGCACCTACACTATGTCTGATGTATAGTAGGGCACTTAACATGGAATGACCAAATAAATTCTAAACGTGCTTTGCAAACACTTTATTCACTTTTCCAAAAGATAACTTCTTGACGTTCTGGCCATAAACTGGGTCAGTGATCACATTTCTCTTTCTGGTTTTGCTGACTTCCTTAGATGTAATTACTTTCACCCAGTTATCACAATCTCACCAGTTTATGCTAAGAGCCTGGTAGTGGTTTTAAAATGCCAGACTAGAGTGTTCTGCAATTACACATTTTGCTCTGACATTATTCTACTTTTTTTTTTTTTTTCAGATGTAATTTTAGGATGACACTTTGTAATAATGATTACTAATTTTTGTGACCCATTTAATTGGGAACCTAGTGTGAATGCTTAATATTTTTTTTCATATCTACTTTCTGACATCCCTATTCAACACTTCTCCCCTACCCTCATTTGCTAGGTATGAGCAGGGGAAAAGAAATCTTACTCTTTCCCCTCAAGAAGTAACTGAGATTTGACCAAGCCCTCACTACTGCTATTAAAACCTTCCAATTTCCCTGTCTCGGGTATTAAGATTATAGAGACATTTATTTGATGATCCCAAGACTTGCTTCCTGATTTAGAACTTTGCTAATTTCTCTTTTCAAAGTTACATCAAAGAGTTCTAAGAAGGTATAATCCATATGGGATGAATATCAAATTAGATAACAATTGTGATATTATTGTTGTCAGTACATTCAGCTAGCTTTCAGAAGTAATACTACATCATGATAATTCTATTCATTTTTGTTGTTGTTGTCTTGGTTTAAATTCTCTTCATCCATTCCCAGACCATAGTACACATCATCAACTAGTTCCCATTTAATTTCCCCATGTCCTTTCCTCCAAATACTAACTGCTTTGACACAGAAAAATGTTGATTTTAACAGTGTCAAATAAGGTCAGTTTTTTTTATATGCCTCAGTGTTGTGGTTGATACTCTTGTGATATTTTAGATTAGAAATGACCAGTCAAATCTTGGATCTTGAGCACAATTTCATCCTAAGAGTTATTTCCTTATCCCTTTGGAACACGGAAGATGTTAACTATAAGCATGCACTTTGCATTCTGAAAGAAATGCTATGGCTACAAATGCACTGGGATTTAATTATAGAATTCATGTTTTGTTCAGGGGTTTTGAATAAGGTAGGTTGTTATTACAAAAAGGTAGCAGTATCCCCCTTAAAATATGTTTTCGTTTTTAGATACGAAATTTTGTTTTTGACCAAGGCTCAGTTAAGCACTCAGTTATTAACCAACTGAATGACAGTTCAAGCTCGCCTCCCCAGCACTTCTGATGTCAGAGCTGGTTATCTGCTTCAGAAAGATCACATTCTTGAAAACTCTGGGAAGCCATTTTATTCTGCACAGATGGGATTGCCATGATTTGGGATTCTCTTGAAAGTAGCTAACAACAACAATATCAATAGGACGTGTGCTTATTTTTCACACTATCTAGAAAAAAAAAAAAAAAAGAGGTATATAATGAGGTATGGAAAGGAGCTCTGGTAGCGTAGTGGCTACGAATCGGGCTGTGAACCTTAAGGTCAGCAGTTCAAAACTACCAGCGGTTCCGCGGGAGAAAGATGAGGCATTCTGCTCCCGTAAAGATTTACAGCCTCGGAAACCCTGTATAGGGTCGCTATGAGTCGGAACCGAACACGGCACATAACAACAACAACAACAATGAGGTATGGGAGTCCTGGTGTGGTGTTGTGGGTTAATTCGCTAGACTGTAAAGTTGGTTTGAACTGCAAGGTCAGCTGTTCATGCTCACCAGTTGTTCCTCAGAAACCCTATATAGGGTCGCTATGTGTCGGAATCAACTCTATGGCATTGAATGACAATGACACATGCTTTTCTCCACAGTTGTTGTTGTTGTAAAGTTCTGTCGAGTTGACTCCCACCTGTAGTGACCCTGTGGAGGGTTTTCAAGGAGCAGCTGGTGAGTGGTTACAGAAATTCAAGTTGTGTTAGTTCTATTTAACTGTAAAATAGAACTGCTGCTCAGTTTCAAATAAATGATTTAAAGCCATGAATTTAAGATGAAAAACTAGTTCTGGTACATATACAAATAGCAAAAGGAAATTATTCTACTTACCCTGAAGAAGAGGTGGGGGTGATGAACTTTCCAAGGTAAACTCTTTGGATACTTTTAAGTCAGCATATGTTACCTGACTATCCATAACAGATGAACGAGTCAGGCACTATGATTGTGTATAAGGTTAGGTGAGGCAAGATCAGTGAAAGGAAGTGCTGAGTCTGAAACTCTCTTGCTTGTCCCCATCTGCCCACACTTCTACTTGTGGTTCTCTCCACAAATTTGTCAGATAATCCACTTCCTGGGTGTCCATTATACTTAGAAATGTAATGTCCACTTTGCTGAATTAGTTGACCTATTTCTGAACAAAATTCTGTGAGACAGTTTTGTGGTTGTCCCTCTGTTGTTGTTACTAAACCTAAATCAAATCCACAGCCATCAAGTAGATTCCAACTCATAACAACTCTGTATAAGGCTTCTGGCAAGTCTTGGTATGGATAAACATTGGACTGCTAATCGCAAGGTTGGCAGTTCAAACCCATGAGCTGATCCTCAGAAACCCTATACAGGGTCGCCATGAGTAGGAAGCAGCTCCACAATGCTTAGTAACAACGGCAATATAGGGTTTCTGAGGCAGTAAATCTTTACAGGAACAGAAAGCCTCATTTTTTATCACTGAGTAGCTGGTGGGTTTGAACTGCTGACCTTGAGGTTAGGAGTCCAGTGTTTATCCTACAGCACCACAATGATTCCCACTGCTACAGCTATCAAGTCGATTCCGACTTATAGCAACCCTGTGCAGGGTTTCCAAGGCTATAAATCTTTACAGGTGCAGAAAGGCTCCTCTTTCTCCCACAGAGCAGTTGGTGGATTTGAACTACCAAACTTGCAATTCTAGTGCTTAGCCTACAGTGCTACCAGGGCTCCTTACTATTATTGGATGTTACCAAGTCAATTTCAACTGACAGCAGCCCCACGGGACAGAACAAAACTACCCCACAGGTTTTTTTTGTTTTTGTTTTTGTTTTTTACTATAATTTTTACAGAAATGGATTGCCAGGACATTCTCCCACTGACTTTGAATTGACAACTCTTCAGTTAGCAATTAAGTGCTTTACCTTTGGTCCACCAGCACTCCATTCAGAACCAGAGTCAAGTAACTCCTCTCAGGTGTAGAATTTAAGGAATTGCAAAAACTCAGTAATCAAGACAACTAATATTTAATGCAATGTTATATAAATGAAATAATGCAAAAGTTTCTGTGATTCCATCCAAAAGCTTTTAATACTCCTGAAATATTCATGCTTCAAAAAAAGTAAAAAAAAAAAAAAAAAGTAAGAAATTGGGTCATATATGTAGGAAAGGCCCTTGAATAATATGACAGAAAAAGCAAAGAACTAAAGATTAATAGACCACTCTTAGTTTATTTCTCAAGACTCATGGGTATAACAGTGTCCACGTAAATAAAATAATTTGAAATCTGCCAGAATTATAGAAATGGAAAAATTTGGGTTTATAGAATTTTCTAGCTCTTTCATGGGTTTTAAGGCATAGAAACTTAGAGCAGGGTACACCTTAGATGACATCAAGTCTGACACCACAGATGAGGAAGAAGAAAACTAAGGATTTTCACAAAATCACTTTCTGTGATAGTATAAGTCTACAAAACTACTTGACAGTGGAAGTAATCCCTGGCTTTGGACCCTGCAAAATAAGACATGTCGATTTGTGGCACTATAGGATAAGCACTGGAGTGCTAGCTACAAGGTTGGCAGTTCAAGCTCACCAGCTGCTCTCAGAAACCTTATAAAAGGATTGCTATGAGTCAGAACTGACTTGACAACACTTAACAACAACATTCAAAGCAGATAATTGTCAATCTGTCCCTGTCATGGGGACACACATTAATTCTGTGAAGATCAGTGAGATACAGATATCTGTGAGAGTTGCACAACCCAAGAAGATTAATATGTAGCTTAGTGGCACTGTAGGATCAACACTGGACTGTGAACCACAAGGTCACCTGTTCAAACCCACCAGCTGCTCCTTGGAAACCCTATACAGGGTCTCAGTGAGTTAGAACCAACTCAACAGTACTTTAGAACAACAGTACATGCATCTTTAAGATTATGGTAAGGAATCAAAAGGAATTGCTGTTTTTGACTATAGACCATTATTATGAAAACATATATAACATTTGTTGTTGCTAAGTACCATCTGGTCAGTTCCTACTCATAGTGATCCTGTATAGGGCTCCCAAAGAACAACTGGTGTGTTTCTACTGCCCATCAGTTAGCAGTCCAGGGCTTATCAACATAGCGCCACAACAGAACTCCATAGTTGGTTAGTGGGTTACATTGTTGGACTGCTAACCACAAGGTCAATAGTTAGAATCCACCAGCTGCTCTGTGGAAGATGAGACTTTCCCCTTCCTTAAAGATTTACATATGTATAGAAACAGATATATATATTTATATACACCCTTGTTTTTAGTTGTAACAATAAAAACATTTTTTGTAAGTCCAGTTTGCATGTATCAATATAACTACAAGGCTAAAATTCTATATGAATTTATATTTTTAATGGTCTTTTGAGTATGATTTTTTTTTTTTATAAACTCTTCTTTGTGAATTGTGTGAAGGTTTACAAAGGAAATACATTTTCCATTCAATAATTCATAAATATACTGTTTCATGTCATTGATTGCAATTCCCAAAATTTAGCATCAATTATCCCATTTCTTCACTGCATTTACCATTTCCATTCTTCCTTTTTTTCTGACCCTTCCTGCCTTCTGAACTTTGTCCTTATTGCCCTATTGATCTCAAATGGTTGATTATTGCAAGGAGTGCTTCCCTGACTATTATTTGGCTAAAAATTGCTATTTTACTTTTTGAACCTTCCAATGTGTTGCAGTAGACTTGTCATTTTTATCCAATTATAATGAAGCTTCAAATTATGTAGCTTGGTCTATGGAGAGACAGAGCAGTTGTGGGCTCTAGGGCCATGGACTTAATAAGGCTGAGTGCCTGCGGAAAGGAGACGGCTTGCAGAATGTGTCCTTTAGACATTTAAATGAATATATATTTTTTGTTTTGTAAGTGTACATCAAATATTTTTGCTTTGTTCATTTGTATCTTATATTTACATATAAGATGTAATGGGGCAAAACAGAGAGGATGCTGTTGTCTCAGGGAGGGGATTATAATACTTGAAATGAAAGAAAGTATATACTTTGTTGAATGCACAGCTGCTGATCTTGTCTGTAAACCTTCATTCAATTCACAACAAAAAGATTTAAAAAAATGGATACCTCATTCTTCTTTCACTTCTGTGTCTCGGTTGTTTTCCAACACAAATCTGTATAACTATGAGCTGTTCTAGCTATACTGTACTTGCATTGTGATATCATGAATTTATATTTGTTGTTATTATTAATTGGAACATGCCCTTTGAACCATGACTTTTTTGATAATGCTATAAAATTCAATCAATATATATTGAAGGAATAAGTGAATTATATTGCACTTACTGATCTTATCTGTTGCTTCATATTTTCATTGGGGAGGAGACATCGAGAATCTTCCAGTGAATTTTCCATATTTATGTCAGGCTATTAAAGGAGTGTTGGTAGTGTAGTGGGTTACAATTTAGACTGCTAACCACAAAGACAGCAGTTGAATCTACTAGCTGCTCCTGTTAAGATTTATAGCCTCAGAAATGCCATACAGGGTGACTATGAGCAGAATCGACTCCATTGTCCATAAATACCATCACCAACACCAGTGATCATACTAGAGTTTTGGTGTGGCATTGTAGGATAAGCACTGGACTGCAAGGTTGATTGTTCAGTGGACTGCTATGAGTTGGAACTTACTCAATTGCATTTACTAGCAACAATAATTGTTTTGGTTGTAAAAGATGATTTTTCTGTCCATGATTGGAAATCATAACTAAATTGTGGTTTTTAACATAAGCAGATCATACAAAGCTGTTAGATTATAAAAGTAAGTTTTAGGAAATTGATACTTTTTCTAATAGAAGGATTTCATTCAGATGGTAATAGACCCACTGTTTTCTGAAATTTTGACTAACCATAAAACTGTAATTGTTGCCAAGGACATCTTTGTGGTAAGTATTTCCTGTGTTGAAAGGAAACTGGATTATTTTTGTTTGTGGTGGAAATTTCTAAATCTGGAGCATCAAAAATTCTTGTGAAGTATCTTTTTTATTCATAATAATGTTGAAAATACTCTGAATATTGATATATTATGGAGCAAGCAATATAAAGAGTTCATTTACAGGCTGACAGAGTTAGTATTTTTAAGACTTGTATTAATTAGCAGATTCAGTACATGGATAAAAGTAGAGAATAACAGAAAGATGTTTACTTATGTTTTCTTGACTATGCAACGGCTTTTGATGGTGTGGATCATGACAAGCTATGAACAACATTGTGGAGAAAGAGTATTCAAGAACACTTAATTGTTCTCATGAGGAACCTAGATACATAGGCCAAGAGGCAGTTGTTTGAATGGACCAAAGGAACATTGAATATTTTAAAATTAGGAAAGGTGTGTTCCAAGGTTATAGTCTTTCACCATACTTATTCACCTATATTCAGAAGGTGAAGTATATAAAGAAAAATGTGGCATCAGGATTGGAGGAAGACTCATTAACAATCTGTGATATGCAGGTTGCATAAAAAATATGAAAACACATACTCAATTAAGTATTAAGACCACAGATAAACATTAAACATGTCCAAGAATCAAAAGTAGATGACCATATCAGCACATGTCCAGAAACAAGATAAAATGCCTGAGACAAATGACCTAGAGGTAGACCTGGACTCCATTCTGGAAGGAGGCAGGCCTTGAAAATGCCTGAGAAGGAATTCAGAAAAACGATTATTAAATGTTTCAAAACACTTTACAATGGAGTTGAAAAAATATAGAAGAAGTCAGGAAAGTTCTACAGAAACAATCAAATAAGAGAGATTCAGCATTGGAAACAATTCAAAACCTACAGAAAGACATCCAAATGATCAATAATAGAACATAAGAAATAGACAATACACTGAAAGGGCAAAGGAGTAGAATAGATGAGATGGAAGTCAGAACCAGTGATCTGGAAGACAAATCT